GAGGCAACCCAACCAGTCGGTTTGCATTTCTTTCTCTATTTATCCTCGGTTGAGTCAGTTTTGTTATTTGATTTTAGAGTCAATAACTCAACCTTTGTGAGATTTTGTGTGGTGTTTGTGTTCTGATTACTCTCTCTTCCTGGAATGCACCGCCTGACCCGTACATCATCATTCACCCTTGATCTTGTAACTTCATTCTACCCTCCTTATCTTTCCTCCATTGAGGACAATGTCGTGCTTAAGTGTGGGGGGTGTTCGATTATTTATGCGGGTGAATGTTTGGCTGTTTGTGTGCTTGGAGCCTAGTCCACTGTCCAAATTTTGAAATTTGAGGGCTCCAAGTACGTGTTCCTTGCAATTGCCTGCTCAGTATGCTTTGAATTGACAGTCTTTATAGTAATATGCAATCTAGGGAGGTAGTGTAGCACTATGGAGGATGTTGATGCATTTAAGAAGTCTCATTGCTTCTTCATATTGTGTTGGTTGATTGAGTGAATTAGTGATCTTAGGACCCTTGAATTGTGTGGTGTTGTGGATTCTCTACCTGTCATGGACTCTTGTATCATGTTTTGAGTTTAACAGGTGCTCGAAAATGTGCTTCAAAATAACGTCTCCCGTGCGAATAGGGCGAAAGTGTGTAAGGGGAGACGGGAATTCGTTCCCAATTTCCACCTACTACCTCCAGCCCCCTTACATGTCTTTCCCCCGCACGAGGCTTGAGACATCCGCTCCTGGCATGGCCGGTAAGAGCAGGTTGGGACCCTTGAAATAAAAAAAAATAACAGAAAACAAGCAAAACAGAAAAGAAAAGGGGTTCCAACCATCTTCAAGAAGAAAATAGAGCACCTTGAAAAATGTGAGTCCATGATCTTTTGTTTTTGAGAATCTCTTCATCCACAATTCATTTGTCCTCTGTTCACTATTTGCCATGATGCCAACTCGATACTAGTGCTCTCGCCGAAGAAGCTATGAGATGACTTGTGTGTCGGTTGACCTCGTAAGTTGCTAAATGATCTAGGAAGTCCTCTACCTACGATCTGGGGTGTTTGTTGCTATAGAGGTCTGGAGAGTTGCATTGGTTTGAGTTAGGTTTGCTTGGGGACAAGCAAACAGTTAAGTGTGGGGGGATTTGATGACTCGGTATTTGCACATGTTTTCCCCTTTGTTTCTTGATTGTTTGAGCTTGAATTATTGCGTCTTTGGCCTATTTTATGCTAGGTTGTGTTCCTTTGTCCCATTTCAGGTCCTAGCACATAAAGTGAAGCATAGGCGCAAGTTTCAAGTCAATCAGAGATCAATTGACGATTCGAGAGAAGAAACTCGGGCATGACCTGAAGAAGAATGGATTTTTACCTCACTTTATGGACAAAGAATCATGCAAGCTTGTTATGAAACGAAAGAGGACGAGACTACGAGCGTCTGGGATCAAACGGCGACTGATTCGGAGTCCGGACGAGGGAGAAACGAAGCATTAAACAGAGGCTGAGCAAGCCACACGGGCAGAGCAGAAAATCCGCACGGCCGTGCAAGGTGAGCTGCACGGCCGTGCGAGTCGTGGCCGTGCGGAAATCACCGAGCCTTCGCACGGGCAACTGGGTGAGCTGCACGGCCGTGCGGCCTGCCCGTGTGAGTCGGGAATTGCTGTTTAAAACCCGATTTTCAGCCAAAGGAAAGGAGAGAGCTGGGTTTTGGATCCCAAACACCCAAGGGACGAACCCTAGAGAGAGAGAGCGACTTGGAAACATTCTTGGAGCTATTTTGGAGGATTTCTTCGCCATTGGAGCTCGGGAATCAAGCTTGGAGATGGAGATTGAAGATCTAGATCAGATTTCTGCAGTCTCTCTCTTCTCTATGGAGTAACTTCCCTTCACTTAGGTTTTGAGGAACCCTAGTTCCATGAGTTAGGATCTTTCTTGTATGAAGTTTTGGATGCTTTATTGTTTGATTATAATCGATTGAGGCATGATTTATTGAGTCAATTGAATCTTGATCAAATTCTCTTGATTTCTGCTTTAACCTATGATAGATAGAATCTGATTAGATTGTTAGAGTCCCTTCATTCGATAGTAGGAGATTGGCTATACGAGAGTTAGCCAGTTTACTGCTTTGTACTGGAATCCAATTCCGGTAGTGGAGTTCTGTGTTCATAGCCTCAGCTTTCTATCCTGGTGAAGACTAGTCGTCTGCCGGGTAGTTGGACTGAGAGGGCTTGGTCAGCTTAAGAGATTCCAAGCTAATTTAGGATCTTCCGCAGTTTAATCAACAGTAGATCAACCAAAGGTTATTGCAACTTGGACCTAATTGAGGAGCTAGGGGGAATCATACCTAAGTGAGTTCCCAACTTGTAATTAGTAGAGTAGTCAGTAGAGTAGTTTATCAATCAATTCTTAATCTAGTTTGCTAGATAATGAACTGAAGCTGAGTAATAGTAACTCTAGAGACCCGTGGATTCGATATTTATTACTTGTGCCACTATACTGCAGTCCCTTTCATTGGTTACACTTGGCCATTGTTAGGTGTTGTGTTTTAGCGCGTCAAGTTTTTGGCGCCGTTGCCGGGGACTTTCTAGAGCATTAGGAAAGGCAGAAGTTTGTTACTTTAGCGTTTTTCTTTTCTTTTCTTTTCCACCCTTGCTTTTCACTTGGGTGTTTTTGTTTCTGTTGGTGCATATTTGAATCATGGATCCTTATGGCTTCTCCAATCATGGGGGGTATCCACCACCATCCGAGTGGTATTACCCCGAGACTCCCTGTAGCAATCAAGGAGGAGAAGACTATGGATTCGGGTTCCAGTACCAACCCCCTTTCTACGGAGAACAACCAGACCCCTGGGCATATCAAGAACAACCTCATCTTCCCCTTCTTTAATGCTCACTTCCTCCTCTTCAACCACTTCTTCCTCCTTCCCATTCATGCCTTCAAGTACGGTTTGGAGGGCAAGATGCAATGCAAGATCATAGAAAATATTCTCTTGCTTATCCACACTCATGACTTGGTGTTCAAATTTTCTCTCGGGGTGGGGAAAGTGATGAGAGTGGTCAATGCAACCTTCTTGTTCATCCTCACCACGGGAGCTCTCCGGGGTGAGTTCGTCTTGCTCCACACGGTTGTCATTGATCGCTCCTTCAACCTCATATTTCTCCTCCAATGATGAGAGGCGATAGCTTGCACAAGCTCGTGCCACCTTCTCTTCCAGTGTCAAACCGGGAGGAGGGAGGGGTTGGAAATCAATGTCGAAGCTCGTTTTTCCAAAGTTCCCATGGCTTGCCTCTTCGACTTCCTCTCTTTCTTACAATGGTAGGAGGCGATTGTGAGCAGGTTGTGCACATGTTTGCTCTACAAGCCCTCTTAGCCTCTCCGTGTGTCGAAGGAGCTCCTCCAATTCCCGAAGAAAGGTTGAGTCGAAATGGTTGGCAATTGGGAGGTCCTTGCTAGAGCACCCTTCATCGGTGCCCCAGGCGAACCGCTCCACCATGATCTCTAATTTGCTCTTTGAAAGCCTCAATGGCCAACTCCAACTTGGATTTCACCTCGAGTTGTGGAGGGAAACCTTCTTGATATGGGAAATCTTCTTGGTATCCCCATGAGCATGGTTGCTCTTCTTGGAAGGGAGGTTGGTAATAGAATCCAGATCCTTGACTTCCCCCCTTCTTGATCGTCCCATGAAATTCTGTGATAACCACTCTCGGGTGTTGGTGGATAACCCCCACACGTGGGCAAAATCATAAGGATCCATGATCCAATACCTACAAACACAAAACACTAAAAAGGAAAATCAAACACACACAAACCACCCTTCAAGACGAAGAGTGGTGAACAAAACACAAGCAAAACACAAGACAAAAACAAAAAGTTAAGATAGGAAATGCTAGAGTAACACTAAGCGGGCTTTTCAAAATAATGGACCGCATTTCCCCGGAAATGGAGCCAAAAACATGGCTCGCACGAAACTACACCTCGAATTAATCACGACTAGAGTCCAAGTTTTTAAACTCTAGCCGGGTGCAGTATAGGGCAAGTATTTAATTGTCAAACCCGGGCCAGTCCATGTACCCCTACTTCAATCGCTTAGGTTGTTATCTAGCAAACGTTTTTTGGTTTAAAACAAAGAAACCTACAAATGAAAACAAGCAAGTAAAGTAAATTGAGGTTGTCCCAATGAGAGAAGAGTTCACCAGGGTGTTGCTCCCCCTAGATAGCAATTACGACTTGATGGATCGAATGGCCGTGTGTGGTGAGGGGGCTGTAAACCACAGGGAAGTCTAACATGTAGCCAAAGCTACCCTCTTAGTCTCTAGGTTGAGGAAATGGGATACGATCCAACCCACTAAGGTGACCCTCTCAACCTATTGACTAAGGAATGGGCATATAATTAGTAGATCTATCCATTGTGTATCCTAGGGGCATTGCAGAGGATTTGATAGTTACTGTAGGGTCATTTATATATCCTGCTGACTTTGTGATTCTTGATATAAATGAGTATGTGGACGTGACTTTGATTTTGGGTACCTTTTCTTGCCACCGCCAAGACACTCATTGATGTAAATGATGGTAAACTGATTTTGAGGGCTCAGCCTGAGGGTGAACAAATCACCATTTCTGGTTTTGATAATATAAAGCATCTCTAGCTCCATGATGATGTTGATTACTGTGATGTGATTGCTAATTATTATACCGGACTCGCCATCACAAGTACGGGTACTAATGATTTCCTCGAACGTTGTCTTTGTTAGGGGAACATGCATCACAGGAGTTGTAGCTTGCGGAGCAATTCACGTAGTTGACGGTCCTAAAAAAAAAACTAAACAACCGGACAAGTCACCGGTGCATTACAGAGACTGAATGAAATCCGCCAAGTAAAAAACTAGACAACCGGACGACGATTTGTCCTCCACAAAAATAGACTAGCTTGCGGAGCAATTCACGTAGTTGACGGTCCTTAAAAAGAAAAATTAAACAACCGGACAAGTCACCGATGCATTACAGAGACTGAATGAAATCCGCCAAGTAAAAGACTAGACAACACAGATTTGTCCTCCACAAAAATAAGATCAATAATGGTTCTTCCCACATATGGACTACCAGCTGAAATTATTAGGAAGCAAGACGGCAGTAAGCAATCCTGGCTTTTCATTAACCAAAAGGAGAGAATCCCTAGCTATTACATAATAATAGTTTCCTACCAAGTTACAAAGTTAAGAGTTCTAAACCCGTCTGATACACTAACTATCTTCCTCGTTCTCCTCTCCGACCATTCCTCAAGACTTTCCTTCTACACCCATCTCCCTTTTCAGTATGTTATTCATCAACGTCATCTCTGTTAGGCTGCACTTCTTTGAATTAGACATCCTTCCACTGCTCTATTTCCCTTTACATGAGCATTGAAGGGCGACATAATAGAATTTTTCCAGAACCTAACTTAGTTAAAACACCACACCTGCTGCTACATAAAACACGGCCACCAAGAAGTTTGGAGGAGTTGATAAATGCCCCTCCAAATGATAAACCACTAAGTCAGCGAATAACCTGAACCCATTCATATCGCCCTGGGAGGGGTATATCATTCACCACATCAAAGTTGTACCTGTAACATTTCACAAAACTAATCGTCAAGCAAGCCTCGAGCAAAACAAATTAAATGAAGGAAAGGAAAAAAAGCAATGTCATTAATGACAGTGGAACCGCAAGCGTGCATACTTGTCAGTGAATAGTCTCTGCTGCAGCTCTTCTTGACCGGCAAAGAAGTCATCCATTTCTTGCACAGTAGGGAAGTTCCTCAGAGTGTCATTACCAACTCTCCTGCTAGTACCCATGGAAGCTCCCTGCCTTGTTGTTGAACCAGGGGTTCCCACGCTATCAGAAGGTCTTATCAAGCTACGAGGTGTGCTTTCCCTGGTGCTCATGCTAAACCAAAAATTTCAATTACAAAATGGACTCATCAAACTAGTTTAGCATTCTGAAGCAACACTTTCATTATCTAAAGCAGAGTGACTAGACAATCATATTCTTCAATAGAACTCCAAATAGCATCAACGCAGAAGGATCACTGGCACTACAATCACACTAGTATCTGCAAATGCAGGATCTCAGAGAACTTGTTGCACACTAATGTTCAAAAAAGGACCACTGATGCACACAACCTAGATCCCCGAGGTGAGTGACCACAATATAATCTTTGTTACCACTCTACTCTGCACTAACGCCAGGATAGATACCAAACTCTCAAGTTTCATCCTTTTCTGTCATGCTAAGGAAACCAAAAATATTCCACCGCCTAAAGCAGCTGTACATTTTGAAAAGAAAACAGAGGTCATACACACCCGGAAAAAAAGTCATTTAAATAGAGTTCACTTAAATGATACCTCACAAAATTTAGCATTCATTTCATTTCTACGGTACCGAACAGAAATTTGACTGCAGCGGATCAGTTGCCTCGATACAAAGCAACAAAACAGTGGGGGCATTCATAAATCTGTTGATAGGTACACCATGTAGTAGATTTGGAACTCGTTGCATGATAAGCATTAAAGAATGCCCTTCACAAGTTGCAGACATCAATTACCTTCTGTGAAAGCAACTTTCAGACTGTGAAATCGGTTCTCACTAAAGTATCACCATAACATGAAGAGAAGCCGAAACCACTTAGAGCCCCACAAAGGAGCCAGTGCAATTTTCACATCGCAGCATCAAAAGGGAAAAAAGACAAAAGAAAAAATATATACGAACATCCAATGATCAGAAACTCTTTCAAGTCATATAATAACTTAGAATCCCTTGCTGTGACAGTGGCCCGTTTCCCATACCAGAGGCAAGTCTGATATGGACAGCACAACGAACACTTGAAGTAACTCACGGAGAAGATGTAAATCCGCATATTAAGACAAAATAGAAAAAGGGTATTGATGGTTAAAATACCCAAAACGGGGACAACCTTCTAATTTCCTTTGGTTTCCGGGGACACACAAGAAAAGCAAGAACGATCAGAAAATTTTAATCAAGAAAAGGAAAAGAGAAAAAAACTTGCAGCTCCTAAGGAGACACACTCCAGCAGGGGCATATGCACACCCCTGTACTTTTAACACTGGGAAAAAATGGAGAAATCACCCTTATTGACCAACAGATTGCAGAAGCAAGAACAAGAGGAAAAGAAGAAGAGAAAATCACCTTCATGCAAAATTATCTCTGCACTTTAGGGAAAATAACACAGAAATCTGGGCATAGAAACAGGCATATTCAAAGGAGTTACCAATTGAGAGCTCAAGGGAAAACCTAGAAAGGCAAAGCAAGGTCAATTAACACCCAGTTTAGACCTGGAAGGCCATAAGCAGGCCAAGGAACCCCACAAAAAGTGGCCACAGTTAGAAGGCACAAGCCCACAGAAATTAGTAAGAAGAAGCTTGATAACCCAAAAAAAACAGAAAAACTAGAAACGACAGGGCAACAACAACCAAGGATCAGAGCCAAGCGAAAAAGCAAACCAACTAAACAAGATCAGGAGAAGCAAGAAAAGAAATTGGATTGATACCTAGCTTCGAACTCCGAGCAGTTCTCTCCAAAAGAGCCTTCAATCCCAAAATCCTCAGGCGCACCAGAACCAAATAAATCCCCTTCCATCACCCTGACAACCTTCCCGCCGGTTGACTTGGCCTCCGAGCTCACTCGTACTTTAGAGGGTTGGGTTTTACACCTCAAACCCTCCCTGGGAACACTAATTTCATCTGGGTCCTTCCGGGAGTATAAAGGAGGTTTCTCGAGGCGGCGGCTACGGAGCTGGAGGTAGGATAAGGACGAATCATCGACCTCGGGAATGGTCTTGGGCGGGGACAGAGACTGTTGAAGCCTCTGAAGGGCTAGGGTTTTAGCACGGGTGCGGACGGTGGAGGTGGCAGAGGAGGAGTAAGAGAGCTCCATAGCCGTTGGGGATTTGGTTTTCTTCATGTACTTACCCATTTCCTTGCCGGGGAAAACTGTGCCCTACTTCTTTCCGGTTTTCCGCTCAGTTTTAGCTGATTCTTCTTCTCCTTCTTCCTCAAGGAACGAGCCAGCTCCGTATGTGAGAAGGAAGGGAACAGAGAAGAGAGAGAAAGAGGGAGGGAAGGAGAGACTTATAGCGAGTCAGAGCCGAAGTTTGAGAAATGAGAGAAGCGGTAAAGGGGGATTTTCCACATTTTAGGGTTTTCTCATTTTGGAGGGTAATTTTGCCATGTTCGTGTGATTTGTACCCTTTTCTCATTTATGCCATTTTAAAATACTGAAAAGTTTTTACATTTTGAGCGAACGAAGGCTTCTAGTTCTCGCAGCTCAAGTATATTCCTCAAAAGAAAATTCCGTTGACAAAAGGAAATTCCTTTATCGTTTGGATCATGGTTGTCAACTGTCATGTCATCATTTCAAATTTTGTGGCCTGAGAGATTCTAAAAAGATCATTTTTGTTATTGTACTCACCTCATGTTTATATATTAAAAATTAATCATTGAAATTTGAAACTTGGTCATTTGAATGAAGAGAGAGCATTATAATCAATTAGGCTACATTTTATTCATTGTTATATTTTTTATTGAACTCTAGTAATATGTTTGGTGATAATGCTTATATATTTATATTTTATCTTAAGTTATTTATATTTTATAGAAAGATATTAGTTCTGAAATCGGAACTCAAGTAGTATTGATTCAAACATTAATATTATATTGTATGTGTTGTTTATTTCAGAAAAAATACAGAAGTGTAACAAAAATATGGACCTTTGAGACGAGTATAATCAATTTTTTGTGACAAATTTACACATAATATAATGATAAAATTGGAATTATGCTACCCACAACCCGTCCCGCGGGGGGTAGTGGTTAACCACTATCCGTTGTGGGATAGTGCGGGTTGGTTGTGGATACCCACAAAAATTTTATCATTAAATAAAATAATATGGTAATTAAATAGTGAAGTTGTGTTTCTTCACAAAAAACAAAAACATACATAAAAGAAAGTGAATAAAGTGTTAAATAAATTATAAATCTCGAATACAAGAGGTTAGTTAGTGTAAATTCAGAAGAGATTGATTTGGAAAGAGATTTGAAGATAGCGGAGAGGCGAAGTGACCTGTTACTAGACAAACATCGTTGCATGTCACGACTCCTCTGATGCAACAATAACAAAACATAATAGTGGCTCCATAAGTAGAGGCACCTGCTTTTAATCAATTGATTATTCTCCACTCTCGATTATAATCTTGTATTGTTGGTAGCTAGTTGCATGTTGTGTTGTTCGTGAGTTCATGGAGAAATGGACACGAGTTTGTATGGACTTGGTTTTGTTTTATAGAATAAGTATGTATTTGATTTTAGTAGCTACCTTAATTCTTAGTCTTCCAATTTTCACAAACTAATATAACTAATATGGTTAATGTGGATTTTGTGGGTAAACCGTTGTGGGTAGTGGTTAACCACTAACCACAAAAATCAATATTTTGCTACCCACACCAAACCCAGTATCCACAAATTGTGCGGTTTAATTTGGTGCGGTTTGCGGGTTACCAGCAATCCGCAAACCAAACTTCCACCCCTACAAGTAAGTACCCATGATCTTTAGACAAATTTAGGAGCTTGAATCATGAACGTAGGACTTCGATTGAGGATTTAAAGTTTAAAATTGCTTGAGAAATGTGAAGTCTTCTCTAGCTAATTTTTGGCATATGCTAGGTGCAATTAATGTTTATGAATGAATTATGACAGTCGGTATGCTTAGAAATGTGATTGCATGGTTCTTATGATGATCTTAATTGAATGTATGCTTGGATGGATTGATGAATATTAGCAAAGTTCATGCAAAAAAATTCAAAAATCTTGCATAACATCTTTCCAATCAAGCTATTAATGTCAAGTTGTGCTAAATTTTGAAATTGTTGGTATGAGTTTTGAAATTTTGAGATTTCAATTGGATTAGAGCAGTGTTAATTTACAATTTTATTACTAAGTTGGATCAAATATAATGCCATTTTACTGGTGTCAACTTATCGATCGCCCTTTGTCAATTCGTATAACTTGGAACTTTCAATGTTTTCAAAGTTTTAAATTTAGTTAGTTCATACTACTTTTACATTTCACACTTGAATATTTCTTGTCTTTACACGAGCTTTAAATGACACATGAAGTGTATGAGTTACTATCTTGCTAATATGTGCTTCCAAAGTTATATGATTAGCTAATAAAAGAATCCACACTCTTAAAGTATGGGATTATTCCCCTATTACCTATGCGAGTTGGCTTTCTTTTAACTAGGAGAATGAATCGATTCATTATGTTTAGGTTATTGTCAGTAGTTTGCACATATCAATAACTACCCCCATTCTAGGCAGAGTTTAACCTATAATGGCATGGTCATATAGTAGCAATCAATGTCGTATTCACTTGGGTCCAAGTACCCTAGCCTACTTCCCACATTGTTGTTATCTAGCCGATCCGTTTAAGGGGTTGCGTCGGAGGATTCAAGTGAAATCACTAGTAGAGAGAATAAACAAGGATAAAAGCATATAGTTTGGGTTACTAACCCTCACCCTATGTAACATCCCGAATATCTGGGTTAGGTTTGACCGATAATCGAGTTGGTTCGAATTGGGAGCTTATGCATTTTAATTAATTTATATTTACTAATTAAGGATAAACAGATTTAATTAAAATAAATAAATAAAATGAGGAAAGATATAGCCTGACCCGTTACTTTCTATCACTCCCCACTAATCCCCACTTAAATCATCTCCCCACCGTTACCATTTTTTCACCTTCTCCGTTACGTTTGCAACCATAAAAATGAGGAGCCGCCTCACCCCTTTCCTTGCGTAGTCACCGCCGCCACCATAACAAACGAACAAGGCCAATGAGAGAACGCACTCGGAGCATTAGCCAACGACGGTACCTATCTCGTGGCCGGGAGATTGGCTACCGGAGTCCAAGGACGACCGTGTCGTAGGAGCTGTGGTCGGGAGATTGGCTACCTGAGGTTGTCGGCCGGGTTCGACAAGCTTGGTCAAGGACACGTAGTTACCCGGAGCTAACTACGATTGCTGGAAAATGTGGATACAAAGCCAAGGAGGTAAGGGTTGTATCTTTCAATTCACGAAGAATATGGATAGGTAGTTCAGTTCATGAGATTGATATATACAAGGGTTAGCTTTGCCAACTAATGTGATTGACTTTGGGCGTCGGGGAAGGAGCGGAGGCGGAGAGGACAACAGAAACAAAGCAGGATTGCCAACGTCCTTTGCGGTGACATGGGAACCGATCTATGGATCGTCGTAAGCATCGGACATCGTGATGAGGTGAGGATCTCTACCATTGAATTCGACAATGATAATGATGCCGTGATGGACTAAGCTAGTTAATGTACGTCAATGAAATATAAAGGGAGCCGATAGCACTTTTGGGGAATTCAATTACGAGCTGAATGTGTTGGTTAGCACAAAATATGATTTTATTGGTTTGTTCTCAAGTGGGATGAATTAGTCTAATGGGTTACTAAATCCAAGGTTGAGAGATGCATTACGTGGATCGATTGAGAGATGAAAATGGTTTATACCTATGTCATGGCCACCGGTGATGGGGATTAGTTAAGTGTAGTGTAGGGACACGTACTAAAATGGAAGTGAATGTTACGGTGATGTGACGTAGGGGGTGGTGATTTTAGTGTTTTCTCGTAAAAGGAATAAAACGCAAAGAACTCTCAAAGGAAATAACTAATGAAATAGCAAATAAAGGACAAAAGCTAACTATTGGGTTCCAATCTTCTTATCATTAACCGAACGAAACATATACATATTTATAGGCACAAAGCCTCTACCTTTACCTATCTAGATTATGACTCATAAACCTCTAAGGATAGTACTAACAAATAACCAAATCCTATACGAACAAGGAAAACAATAATAAAGACAATAATAATAAAAGCCCAATAGTATATTAATAATAAAATACTAAAGATACGCAAGCCCAGTCTCCTACGAAATGCTACGATGGCCCGATCTCGTAACATCCCTCCCCCCTTAAAAGAACCTTGTCCACAAGGTTTACGCTTTCGATACTTCCAATTCAGCTTGTGTACCCAATCGACCCCTCCAACATCAGCAGCTCCCATGGCCGTGTACTGCTTCCCATCCATGGTCATTCCAGGTAGGCCAATTTTGAGTGTCATTATGAATTCAGACCTTCCTCTCGTACGCAACTCGTCGGCTGTACTACCACTTACTTCATCCAATGTTGTCACTCGTAGCTTAGCCTCAGAACTATCAAAATCCCACAAAGACCCAAATTCTTCCATTTTGCATACAAGCCATGCATCCGTGTCATTCCACTTACCATGCAATCTTCCATCAAAGTCACGTGAGAACAACCCTTGCCACTTCATAACAGCCAACATGTCAATGTAAAGGCCCACGCTCATCGAGAACCATGAGTAATTATCAAGCAATGCTGGCTCTTCATTCAAGAATAGTTCCACCAACTCATTTAGGGTTGCAGTCGTAGACAACCATAGCAATTCTAGATATTTTTTCCTGAACTTCCATGAGAATAACGAAACGCTAATCCTTTCAGAACCGGCGGCGACGAACCTTATGGCATCAAAGAGGATTTTAATACGAGGCCGCTTACAAACTCCACCTGCAACAATCACCTTGTAACTCCGTAGTCGAAGCTTTTTGGTCCTCGCGAACCCGTAAGCCGCTCTCCTTCGAATTGGCATGTATCCCTTAAAGTTGAATAATGGGTTCAACGTGGAAACGGCGACTTCGCCATGGCGTCCCTCACCATTCTCAATACTGAACTTCATCTTCACGCCATATTTGTATCGATCAAACAAGGGTCCCATTACGTGAGAGATATTGAAGCTGCAGCCAGCTCCTTCTTCCTTAACATCAGCTCGAGCCATGACTGGTAAGCCTGTCATCTGTGATACGACCAGCCGGACAGAGTTTCGGCGGGGAGCCCAATCTCTTAGAGCCTTAGTCGTCGTCCTCGACCTTTCTTTTAACCCTTCAGCTCGCAGCCTCTCCCTTATCGACATAGTGGTCTCCATCCTCGTCACTCTTGACTCGACGAGATTCTCCTTCCGCCAAGAGTGTTCATCAAGGGTCAATTTCATTGCACTGATAAGTTCACCATCCCGCCTGACGTCGAGCTTAGGAGACAACTGCGGAGACAGTGACAGCGGCAACATGGATGCGGCGTTTACAGTGGCTGCTTGCGGTTTCTTCC